TTGTACACCTGTGGAGGTTGGGGAATTCCAGTAGAAGAGGAGATCATGAGTAAGGAGAAAGGGAAATGCAAGGGTATAAACTCTGCTGAGAGACTTGCCTGTTATAAGTGAGATACAGCCTCCTTACAAAGAATGGAAGATGTGATCCTAGAGAGATCCCCCCCATCAGTTTACTATCAGTGTGCTAAGAATGCAAGGACAAGAAGTAAAATGTGAAGGAAAATTTAGAGACTTTAAATGAGGTTCTTTTTTTGTTTCTTGAAACAAGATCTTGCTCTGTTGCCCAAGCTGGAGTGCAGTGGCACAATCATGGCTCACTGCAACCTCAACCTCTAGACCTCAAGAGATCCTCCCACCTTAACTTTAACCTCCAGAGTTGCTGGAACTACAGCTGTGTGCCACCATGACCAGTTAGTTTTTTGTTTTGTTTTGCTTTTTAAAAAAAAATTTGTAGGCACAGGATCTCACTATGTTGCCTAGGCTGGTCTCAAACTCCTGGGCTCAAGCCATCCTCCTGCCTCTGCCTCCTAAAGTGCTGGGATTATAGGCATGAACCACCTTGCCTAAATGAGGTACTTTAAAGATTTTAAATGAGACTCCATATTTTAAGAGAATGCAGGGAATCTGAGAGAAATCCTGAGTGCTACAAGTATCACCTCTTTAAATGTTTACATTTAGCAAGGAGACAGGGTGTTTGAAATTGCACTCTTGTAAAGATAAAGCAGTTTTTATAAGTAACAGACTCCCCCAAGATATGAGAATTGTAAGGCCATGTGCAAGCTCTTAATCTGAAATTTGTCGTTGTTTCCTTGTATGTTTGCAGGCAAACTCTAATATGAACAACTATTGGATTTAACTCACATTCTGATGAGGCTAAATTTAAAAAATGTTTATCCTCTTGTTATAATTTTTCCAAATTCTCCTGTCCAAGACAACACTTAAGATTCTTAAGATTAGTCTGTCTATGGCTGCAAAACAGCAATGTGGATTGGACACATTTTTTTCATTATGGGAAATCATGAAAATAATTTTAACTCAGAATTATATATATATGTATACTGAAAGGTTTATATTAAACATAAAATTTATGTTAAATATAAATAAGTTTATATTAAATATAAATATATATCTTTTAAATATATACATATATACACACCCAAACACAACTCTAGCCCACTAATCTGTGGTGGAACATTTGAAAAAGTTTCACAAATGACTCTGATGCTTCTTATTTCCACTTAGAAAATCTTCATGAAGACTGTAATATTTATCTCTTCCTATGTACACAGCTTTCATTTGGAAAGGATCAGTATGTACAGAAATTGATACTTTGATTGTAAGCTACTGTTACTACATAAACATACTCAGGAGCCCTGCAGTATAGAATTTAAGCCTGTGGACTGGGGGTCTACATGAGCTCATCATCCCGGTTCCTCAATGTAGTAAACAGGTTTACTTTGGCAAATTATTTCTGAGTCTCAGTTTCATTATCCACAAAAAAAGGGATTGTCAGCATACTCAATTTCTAAAATCATGAGAATTAAATGAGATAATGTGTATGGTTACAGCTCATTTAAGTTTAGATATTTTGATCTCAGTTAGCTTTGGGAAATTATTGATGCTTTCTAAATTTTGTGGGAATGCAACCAGAACTGTAACATTCTAAAATGTTTGGTAAACCCTCCGGAGTTCTGAACACATGGATCAACTGAGAATTGTTTGAGGGACTAGAAAAAGGTACATCAGTTCTAATGGCAGGTGCCCTCTCTTTTCTGGATCTCTGATGCATACTTTAGAAACTACATTGGGAACTGGCCATCTGCAGATGCAGGAGAGACTCCTCTGCTTTTTGTTCATTTCCCCCCCTGCCAAAGGCAGAAATCCCTTTAGATTTTTCAGAGATGGGTGCCTTAAAAACATCCTTGTGCATCCCCTATGTACCAGACACTGTATCCTGTACAATAGATTATTGTATTTATTCCTTCTATTAGGCCATTTCACAGAGGAGGTGTTGATGTCTTAGAATTTCAGGGCCTTGCCTAAGGGCAGAGGCTCTCAAGTGGCAAAGCACGGATATCTGAGCTTTCTCACTCTGGATCCTCTGCCCTTCTACCATGGAAACAGGAAAACCTAGAGGTATGATAGGATTTTAGAAATCAAATTATAATTCATCCTTTATCATTTGAGCAATCTTAGGCATAGAGAAGTTAAATGATTTGCCTGAGGCACAGAGCTAGTTAGAAGCCTGACTGGGAAGAAACCTAATTTCTTTACATTTAGAAATCTTTTATTTGAAAACTCCATACAGCAAAGACACAAGACCCATTCTAAACAGCTGTCTGCCATAGTGCCAATTGCATCTCTTTGCATGGGCAGTATATTTCCATTTGCCTTGTAGTTTAATGAAGTGAAAGACTCCCTGAACCCTTAATGTTCAGTTTCATGGCAATTGGAAAATTCATTTAAGAACCAATTTATCCACAAAGCTAGAACTTAAAATCAAAGGGAAACAGAAAGGAAAGGAAAATCAACTGTTAACATCAGGTTAATGGTAAACATAAAATTCATATGTTTAAGAGAACAATTTGTTAAGATTATTAAAATACTGTATAAATATTGATACAGTTTGCCTGTGTCCCACACAGATCTTATCTTAAATTGTAGTTCCCATAATCCCCATGTGTCATGGGAGGGACATAGTGGGAGGTAATGAATCATAATGGCAGTTACCTCCATGTTGTTCTCATGATACTGAGCCAATTCTCATGAGATCTGATGGTTTTACAGCGGGCTTTTCCCTCTTTTGCTTGACACTTCTCCTTCCTGCCATCATGTGAAAAGTACGAGTTTGCTTTTCCTTCTGTCATGATTGTAAGTTTCTTGAGGCCTTCTCAGCCCTGCAGAACTTTGAGTCAATTAAATCTTTTTTCTTTATAAATTACTCAGTCTCAGGCAAGTCCTGTGTAACAGCATGAGAATAGACTAATCCAGATATCTTTTAGGAATGTGAGATTATATTTATTCCATTTTATTCGAATGTGCTTGACAGTTTCAAAGTATTTAGCTAAAATCTGTGTCCTTTTTCCATAATAAGGAGGGTATTATTTTACAAAATTATTATTTTTTAAGTATCTGAAGTGTCAAGGCATGAAGTTGTCTTTATTTTGTGTTCCATATTACAGCTGGAAATCCATTTTAATGCAATACAGTAAAAACGTTTATAAATATTTATCACAGAGTCATTTGCATGGAATTCTCATAAAAATCACACACACACACACACACCAGCCAAAGAACAACTGCAATAAATGAACTGATATTTCGAGAAGAAATCATTCATTGGTTTATACTGAATTCATATTTATTTAACCTATAGTCTTTGACATCTGGAAAAGAGAATATTGGTGAGCAGTATGATTAATAGGAACTACGGTATAAAAGAATCAAAGAAATAAAACATGAATTTCTAATATATAATTTTAGATACTTTGTAATGCGTTCACAAAATGCACCAAGAATAAAACTGCCAGATAAGGCATACAAATAGGTAGATGAAGAAAAAATCAGTTTAAGTCTTAAATGCTCTGAAGTTTTCTATAGCCATGAAGAAATCGTGACTAGTAGAAAGATCTTATTGGATCATGTGGATTTTGTAAAAACACATATTGACAAAAAGAATATAGAATAGTGATATATGAGCAACATATGTTATTTTCAAGCACTAATGAAAGCACATTTTAATTATTACAGTAGCCACTCTTTAATGTTAATATGTGCCTTTAAATATAGTGCAGCAAGTACTATATTTGCATCACTGTTTTAGTAAATGATCAGTCAATAGAAGTTTTTAACAGATGAAAGACTAATTGAACTCTGCATACAATTGCCTTTCTGTTGATGATAACAGCACTATTTTTGAGCACTTTATAGCCATTTTGCAAATTCAGCCATAACTTAGATTTATCATTATTATGAAAATTTTACTGAATTTATTTTGGTTTAATTAAAAATCTAGATGAAAACAAAAATACGTCCTTTACAGTTTACAAACCATTGATTTTTCCATCCTTCCTCTCATCGGTTGTTACCACTAGAAACTTATTTGGTGTCAATGGAATTAGAAATTTAGACATATGTTTAAAAAACAACTTTGAATATTTTGATTAAGGAAACCAGCCTCTTTGTATAATTCAGGTTATAATTAAGATTCTTTAAAGCAAATCAATATTTCAAATACCTACAGTCTAGCTGAGGGGAAATGGGAGATGAACAAGTGTATTTTGGGTTTTTGGTTAGTAGTTCTGTCTTTAACTAGAAGGACAGCTTGTAGGAGATCATTTTCCTCTCCTCCAGACCCTAAATTTGAGCTAGAGAGGCACTGTTGGAAAATGCCTGATGGTTTGGCAGAACTAAATTGGCATTGTCTGGAAATTATCTCACTCCCAAAAGGGAATAAAAACCTTTCCAAACGCCTTCAATAAAGACGCTGGTGTCCTGGAAGCAGCTCAGAAACATCACTTTAGCCCTTCTGGAAAGTGGAAACGCACCGGGTGAAGCCTCGGATACACAAAGATCATTGCTCAGAAGCATCACGTTTGAAAACAGTTTAAAAACTCGCTAGCATCAAACTCGCTGAGGAGATTCAACAAAGTTACAACAATACAGCCCCGGAGAGGGTTTGGCGGGGCGGGGGACTTTAAAGGTTAAGAAAGCGCCCATGTCCCTTGCCCAAGTCCCTGGTCTGCAAGCCTGGGGCCACAGCCATTTGTGGCGCGGACATCCAGGGCTGGGAAGCCCCCCATTGTCCCAATGTCGGGCGAGTGACCAAACCGGTGCCTGTGTAATTAGGATGGGATTTGAAAAAGGTCGAAAGAGGAAAGTCGCAAAATCCAAAGACTCAGTCCCCAATCGCTAACGAGTCATCAAGGCAAAGGTTGGGCATTGGAGAGGGGTCGCGCCCTCAAGCGCGGGCCCCCAGCCAAACTGACGCATGCTGTTACCTCTCCGGGCGAGCCCTGACGGCGGCGGGAACCAGAATCCACCAAGCCGGGTTGCAGCAACAGGTTCTGCCCCTTCTTCGGCCCCAGCTACTTTTTGCTTTCTAGCAGCTCAGCCCCAGCCGTCGCCCGTCCGCCGCGGACTTCTGCTCAGCTCCCGGCTGCCGCTCCAGGCTACCCCGCCGCGCGGCTTGGCGCTGCGTGCTCTGCGCCCGCTCCCAGCCTCCCAATCCCCTTCAGATGAGACGTCAGTCTCTAGGAGGCACCAGCCAGCCGATGGGGTTCCGAAGAAGCTTTTCATATCCCGCTAAGGGGCACCCAGGTACATTCTTGTGAAACTCAGAATCCGAGTGCAGCAAAGAAAAGGAAGCATCCGTATGACTAGCAAAATCGTCATTACCTGGCTCCAGATCCTGGGCAAGTGATTTAGCCTCTCTGTGCCTCAGTTTCCTAGTTTGTAAAATAGAGATGTTGATATTAATCAGTAGGAGAAAACTGAGAATTATTTGTCTACGTCCAAAAGTGCCTGGAATGGTCCTGGTACAAGGCAAGCATTACATTAAATGTGAGCTATCATCATCTTTAAGGTTCTAATGGAACTGAGAGGTTCGTTGCATATTGCAAGCCCTCCCTCTGTCTGAAGCAGACCCTATTCTTTGAGTCTGCAAAGATCTTTTAGCTTGCAAGCAAATCCCTCTGAAATTTTGGAAATGTATTTACAGCATAATTAGAAATGGAAAGCAGAGAACCCTGGGGAGACTCACAATGAACCTAACAGGACTGTCTGCCCAGTTGGATGTTGCTAATAGAGAGATCATGACTAAACTTTAATGGATTAACTTACAGGTTTATACAATTACTGAGAAGGGGCTAATTCAAGGTGCTTTAAGCCTGAGAAACCTGTGAGGAGACGAGTGGACCTAATCCTCAGGAGAGTACCCTAGGTTAGTGAAGAGTTGGTATGTAACTATTTCCAATCCACACAGTGACTTGTCTAAGATTACAGAGGTGGTATTTAAATGAAAGAACAGCTCCAGAATCCAAATTAACTTCTTTATCTACTACATTTCTGTGGCTATATCACTGGTACATGTGGGATACAGAAAAAAAAAAGCCTATGGTGAGACAGACCTTTTAAAATAGGATTCCTTGTTCTTGGAATAAAGTTGCAAATTCTAACAAGTGTGTGGTATGTGGTGTGTGTGTTTAAAACCGAATGATGACTACATTGAGGATCCAGAAAGGGGTATTTCTCCCAAGACTTTACCAAGTTCAAGATAAGATTACTGGTCTCACTTGTCTGAAGTTTATCAGGATACTCAAGGGACAGAAGTTCATAGAAAAGAAAAAGACATTAAAGAGATAGCACAGGAGTCATGGCAGAGAATGATAAATTAGTTGAGTAAAATAAAACTAAGAAGAGAAAAACATTTTGTATTCAATCTCAGATTCTTGAATCAAAGTGCAAAAATAACTGTGGATCATTGCTCTATATAGTCCCTCTTACTACTGGAAAAATAAATCATTAAAATAACGAGAACAATAGCCATGCTTTTGATGAGACAATGAGGTAATGTCTAGCTTGCCAAGATTCTATTACAAATTAAAAGAAATATAAAAGTTATGTAACAATCGTTTAAACTATGAGTCCATTTCTGTATCATGAAACAACACACCGCCAGAACTACTGTCCTGCTCCCCATCCCTACCACTGCACCACCACTGAAAACAACACAGTATGTCCATGAGCAGGAAAAAATTATATAAAACTAGGGAAGGACCTGAAATGCACCTCTCCCTCAGTACTTCTCCTGTAAACACCCCACTTTAACTTCCACGCTTTCATTCATCATTCTTCGCTGTAACTGGTTTAATACAAGAGCTTGTCTTTCTTCCTCCGAGCTAAAGCCCATGTCTATAATGGTGAACTTTTCTTCTCACCCTCTCCCATATTTTCAGGATTTTCATACTCTCTCATATATTTCTTCTCTACTTTTGAAATGAAGTATTCCTGGCTTTTATGTATGTCAAGATCTTCCATTTAAAACAAAACAAAATAAAAATCCCATGGTTTTTCTGCAAGGCCTTAAGTGTGATACCTACATTATTCCTTCCCAGGAACGCCCGCACTGTTTTGCAGTCCAATCTGTTGTTTGCATTTCCTCACTTCCCATCCACTTAGCAAGCCACTCCAGTCAGACTTTCTCACCGGACAATCTTGCAAAAATCATCAATACTTCCATGTCGAGAAATACAATGGATATTTTTCGGTCTGCATCGTATTTGGCCTTTGAGCAGCTTGATTTCTATCTGTAACAGTTTCTCCTCTTAGCATATATTTCATAATCCCCTATTTTTTGTTTCTTTACCTTGCATCTCTGGCTACACATTTTTTTGTATCCTTTACAGGCCCTTTTTAATTTTTATTTTTCTACACAGCCATTTAACATAGGCCTTTCTTTTTCTTTTCTTTTTTTTTTTTTTTTTTTTTTTTTGAGATGTTGTCTCACTCTGTCATCCAGGCTGGAGTGCAATCTTGGCTCACTGCAACCCTCGCCTCCCAGGTTCCAGCGATTCTCCTGGCTCAGTCTCCTAAGTATCTGGGACTACAGGCACCTGCTACCAGGCAGGGTTAATTTTTTGTGTTTTTAATAGAGAAGAGGTTTCACCGTGTTAGCCAGGATGGTCTCAATCTCCTGACTTCGTAATCTATCCGCACTGGCCTTCCAAAGTGTTGGGATTACAGGTGTGAGCCATTACCCTGGCCCTTTTTTCTTTTTCTTTTAGACAGAGTCTCTCTTTGTCACCCAGGCTGGAGTGCAATGGAGTGCAGGGGTGTGATCTTGGCTCACTACACTCTCTGCCTCCCAGGTTTAAGCAATTATTATGCCTCAGCCTCCCAACTAGCTGGAACTAGAGGCACATGCCACAACACCAAGCTAATTTTTTGTATTTTAGTAGAGACAGGGTTTCACTATGTTGCCCAGGCTGGTCTCAAACTCCTGAGCTCAGGCAATCTGCCAGCCTTGACGTCCCAAAGTGCTAGGTTTATAGGTGTGAGCCATGGCACCCGGCCTAACATAGATCTTTCTTTAAGGCTCAGTGCTAGATTTACTACTCTTCTTAATGGACTAATTTATATGCATTCTTATCCACACAGCTGGCCTCAATTACCACGCATATGCAGGCGATCCCCACATTTGCATCTCCAGTCTAGATTTCCTCTATAAGTGTCAGACTCCTACTTGACAATGTTAATAGCTGTCTCAACATCTCCTCAAACTCAGCATATCTAAAGCTAGAATCATGGTCTTCTTCCCAAAACCTACTCTAGCTCAGTTGATGACACTGCCATACATCCTTCTCATGGCTAGCTTAAATATGGTGGCACTCGGCTACCACCTTGAACAATTGGGTGTATACCACACGCTGAGGGTGGCAGAGAAACAGGATGAAAGGAACCTGAGTTTTTGACAATCTTAGAAAGCTTCATCTCCAGTTTGGACTGGTATACCTCAGCATTCCTTTTACATAAGAAAGGAATAAAAGTCCATCTTACAAAAAAGATACATATCATTATGTACCTTTATACATAAATTATTCACATAAGTGGAAAATCAGTGTAGCTTGAGATAAACAGAAGGTAGATAATAAGACACATTAAATAAAATGTTAATTTTTACAAAGTTTGTCTATATAACATTTTAAATTATCTTATATTCCACCAATAGTATGCCAGCTTGTACTTCACCTTAAGGAATATGAGGATAAACTGATATGTTGCCTTGCAAAAGAGCAGAATATTGCAAACTACATGGAAGCTTTGGGAAGACAGTTCAAGAAAGCACAAGAGGAAGAAGAACGCAAACATGGACCCAAAAAAGGAACGGAAATGAATCAAGTGACTAGAGGGAAGGCAATAGAAGAGAAGAAAGGCAGAAAAGACTACAACCTTAATTGTGGTCATTTTTGATACAGTATTTTTGTTTTTAACTCAGTGTTGCTGCTGGTTTTGTTTATTTTTTTTCTTGATGGGCAAAAATCAATTTTAAAAATTGCATCGAGGATAAAAAAGACTTAAGAATAACCAAAAGGCAAAAGACATAGATAAATGATACTTTCTCAATTAGAAGAATTACAAAGAGTAAGAAGTAGACATTACTAATAATGAGGAATATGCAGATTAAACTGACATTCAAATACCATTTTCTCATTTAAATTAGCAATAACATGCTTGTTGGATGGTTATAAAAGTAGCATAATCCTTTTAAAAACAACACTTTTGGAAAAGAGTTTAATCGTATAGATTAAAAATCAATAAAGATATTTATAGATTTTGATTTAGGAAACTCAGTTTTATAAATATACCCATTGGAATCAACTAAAAATAAAAGCTACAAGCAGATAGTTATATATTAGTGTTAACTAAATAGTGGGAGACTAGGAGCACTCTGGCATGTTAATTCAGTGAAATTTATGTGGTCATGAAGAGTTTTAATTATGACAATAATAAAGGAAAAGTAATGTAGGGTAATATTAAGTAAAAATAAAGCAAACATGATATTTTAGGTAAATCAGAATTATCTATGCAAAACTACACATTCTAATGGATAATGCTCAAATGAGCATCTGAATAATAGCAATCTATTCTGGAGTCATGATCTTGGGTACATTTTTTTCAAAATTTTATCCATAATAGTGTTACTATAATTACAAAATAATAGGTTCTTTAAGTTGAAAAAGATGCCAGAATGAAAATTGGGAGCCCTAGAAATAGCCCAGTCTTTTCATTTTAAATCCTTACTTACTTACATAGGCTTCCATTTTTTCAAATAATATGCTATGAAAAGATTCAACTAGTATTTTTCAAGTTGTAAGAGCCTATGATTCTAAATCCCACTCTAGGCAACTGTCTTCCTCCTTTTCTACATTAGCTATTTTCTAGTTTTTCTGAAAGTTGGTTTCAGTTGCTCAATAATATTGGTTGACTCTCTACCAACTAGTAAAGTCATGTGCTAGTTTTTTGATGAGGAGTAGGTAGAACTTAGATAAACATGTGAAATCCTGTTCCTGAACTTAGAAAACTTTTATTTATGTCTGTTATGAAGAGGCAAGACATGTAAGATATTAACTACATGATCCAAAGAAAGAACTCTGGAGTCAAAGAGAAAATATTATCACAGATAGAGGCATCACAGATATGACATTTGAGCTAGGTCTCACAGAATAAGTACCATTTGGACTTGTCAGATGGGTATGAGAGTGGATACTTTGGGCAAAGGAAACACCATGGCAAACCATGGAGGTAGGGAACCCTGAAAATTGTAAAAAAACAGTTCTTTCTTGGTTTGTTTAAAGCATAGGCTTTATGAGATAAGCAGAGAGAGTATTTGAATACCTTTCTGAGAAAGGGAATATGGTGAATTGTAGGTGAATTGTAACCATCTGCA